TAAGACATGCAGAATTTTCAGGGATACTTTGTTGAGTGGCAGTGCTGCCATTCTGACAGCAGTATGTGCGTGTGATAGGAGAGAGGGATCACATATTTATATGACTGCCACTACACACCACCTTCAGAGAAAAGACTTTCTTTCATTAGGAAAGTTAATATTTGTTCATGTTAGATTACACTTGAGTCTGCATAGGTACTTATATCTTTGTGTGTGTGTGAAAGAGAGTGAAAGAGGAGGAAGGGGGAGAGGGAAGGAAAGAGAGAGAACACTTCCAACAACCACATTCATCTGGAATAGGAACTATTCCAGACAGCTAAAATATGTTTTTATATGAAAAAGTATTGAAGCAACTGGGTCATATTAATATATACATTGTTGCTTGGTTATGTCTTCCTGGTTCAAGAATGCATGTTACAAAAAAAATAAGAGAAATGATAACATCATACCCATGAGCTCATTGGGATACTCTTTTTTTTTTTTTTTTAACTGTGCTGGTTGCTTTTGGAAGATATTAGGAAACAAATCATTTTGAAGATCATTGCTAAAGGAGAGATCACTTCTAAACATCTATTTTAATATTTCCAATATGAAGTGAGACTCATAATAACTAAATAGTTTATTAAATACTTTTTCTTATTAAAGTATTCCATTTAAAACATGAAGGAAAAGTGACTGAGTTCGATTTTTACCGCTTTGAAAGAACTTGAGGCTCTAGGCAATGTTGCATGGCAGACAACAGCACAATATACATCTATTAGTTATATATGTGTTTATTAAAGTGCATAGACTCATCTGTAAAGTAGCTTTGCATTCCACCAAATAAACCATGCAACTTGAATTTCAATAAGCCTTTAGCTCAATCTACCAATTGTTCACAAAATACAGACTTGTGAAGTATACCAGATGTAAGACATGAATGTAATTTGCAGAACTCCAGCCTGCTGCATTGCTGTTGCAAAACGATTTGGTTTCTTTAAAAAAAAAACACCTTTGCTAGCATATAAAGGATGTTGGTCAAGGAAGCTACAGAATACAAGACCCACAGATCTATAAAGCACTTTGTAAAAACAGTTATTTGGATATTTCAGATATGAATGTTTTCTGTTTTGTTCAAACTCACCCTCCGTTCTCTTTCCTCCAATTTCTCTACTTCCTTTCCATTCTCTTCCCAAACTCACTGAGTTCACTTAGTGCTGATTGTATGTGCAGGGGTGTGGGACCACTTCTGGGGCATTCGTAGATTCTCAAAGGCTGCTGAAAACTGAGTCGCCTTCCCCCAGTAGCAAGGAATTGCCAATGGCTCCTCAGATACAGGTGTGACTTCCTGAACTCCTCCTTCCATGGTTAGATTTTGGTTGGCTTGATCTTATACATGTCTTGTGTACACAGTCACAGTGGTAGTGATTCATGTGTGGCCTGTTCTGTCTCTTATCTACAGTAATTCTCTACCCCCAGCTTTCACAAATTTCTGCCCCCTTTTCTATGACGATCCTTGAGCCTTGGGGAAGGGGATGGGGTAGAGTTACTCTGTGATTCAAATTCCTGGCATCTTCATCAGGAGGAACTTATCATCACGTTTTAGAGGTAGTGGCAATAGCTTGTAATACCTCAGGGGTGGGGTGTCCATTTACCAATGATTTCAATGATTTCAAAGGTACCCTTTTTACTTGATAGCTTATGTTGTCTTCAAAAAGCACTTTCCCCTAATGTAGTGACTCTGCTTTCATATATGTATATAATGTAGATATTTATATCTGCATTTATTTTAGGAAGTCTCTACAGTAGTAGGTTTCCATATGACTTTTTCAAAGCCGTTTAGTATTGGTAATCCCTCCCCATACTCTGTCCACTATGCTGACCTCTCAGGGTTATATAAAAGTTCTATTTAAAGAAAGTTGTATTTGTATAATATAGAAACATGGACATTGAGTTTGTATTGGGTGAATTAAAATTGGGTGACCAAAATTTATGCAGATCAAAATCTGACAATGTTGGCTCTTTTTCCAATGATCAATATTGGATACAAGTAGAAGAAAGTATTTTTCTCATATTTATCCATCTCAAAATCAAGTAAAATATAAAGTGAAAACTATAAAATTAAGTATTACTTATACATCTCATAATTTAGACAAAGAAAGTTTCTGGCAGAAAATTTTGCGCATGTATCAGCATTGTTTATTTCCATTTTATTTTGTATGTGTTATGTCTTTTAAAATATATCTATTATATACACACTGTGTATATAACTATATGCGCATGTACACATTTCGTTTTGTTTGTTTGTGTGTGTGTACTGTGCCAGTTAGTTTTTTGTATACTTGACACAAACTAGAGCAAACCGGGAGGATAGTTCCTAAATGGCCTCCAACAGACTGGCCTGTGAGAGCATTAATGAACGTACTGCCCAGTGAGTTTCACATCACCAGGGCTAGACCTGTTAATTTTAGCACAGCCAGCTAAGAACCATGCCATGCAATGACACAGGCAATGCAGGCTACAGAAACCCATCAGTGAATCTCTGTGACAAGCGGCTGAATTACAAGAAAGGTCTTTTTATTAAAAAAAAATCAAGTTATATTAAGATCCTGAACATTCTGTGCATCCTAAACTATGTTATGCCCACATGTTTTTTAATTAAATAGTTTCAGAAAATAAAATGTTCATCTTTTCACTCTGAGAGTTGAGAAACCAAGGTAGGATTCAGATCTGACAAGCTGAGGAGGGAAGATGATTTTTGAAGAGTGAGAATTTCCTTCACAGCTTACTGAATTTGTATTCTGCTGGCCAGAGGAGCGTGTTGCCTCTTGCCTTGGCCTCCTTTCTCTGATTAATAATCCCCTGCATGTTGGAACACTGCTGTTAACTCGTCATAGCTGGCACTTGTATTGGTTTGTTCCCTGGATAAAAACTGCTCAAGTCAAGTCTTAGTGACAATGTTTGCTTGTTCAGGCTGAAGTTAACATAAGAGATATTTACACTTAGAGTTTAGTTCAATACTAGGAGACCCTCCTGGTGTGTCAGCGTGTTTCTAACCCACACCTAAGAGGGCGGTCCACAGCAGCTTGTAACACAGGTCTGTTCCACAGGCTAACTTTCTATTGGCTTCTAGCTATGTGTGTGATTGACACTGCCCCCCCTTTTTGGTATCCAATCCCCATTCTCACCATCCTTACACCATTTGCAACTCAGCCCAGGAGCAAGTGTGCTTTCTGGTCCACTGCTGAGAACAGCCTGAGAGGACACAGGCCCTGGGTGTGATCACAGGTGAACTATCTCAGGGAGACTCACTAAAAGATATCCAGAACACAGTGAATAGACTTTGTGGTGGTGCAGTTGATACCCAGTAGCCTTCCTGGTGCCTCTTAAACCTGAAGCAGTGCTAGCTAGCCAGTCTCCCAGCTGAGGTAAAGAACATCATTCCTAAAGACAACACAAAGTGTATATCTCAGAGTTTAAAAAACACCCCCCAGAGTTTTGACTTAATTCCTCAAAGAGTTCAATTCCTGTCATCTTTTGTGTGAGCCTGGAGTTTTGTTTATTGAACCAGTGAACATCAGGATCTGTCAGTCTTCGTTAGCCTACCACCTCCCTCAGATTAACAATGCGTTCTCTCCCTCACTACATATAACCCCTCCCTCTCTGTTAGTACTTGCTTCATCCTTGGGTTTCCACAGCTACTACTAAGCAGAGAATTCATCCCTGAGAATTATATGCTTCCTTGAGTACTGCTTACAGGCAGTACTTCTTCAATGCAAATAAAACTTCAAAATTTGATTCCAGTGCCACCAGGAAAACAGAAAAATCAATCAAAGCAGCATTGATTTAGATGACTTTGTTGTAACAAGAAATCATGCCTGAGCTGCGAGCGCAACCAAACAAATCCTCACAGGAGGAGAATGACTTTACCAAGGTGCTGTGCATACAAACACATGCCCAGGTCTCTGCTGGCAGCTCTGGGAATACAGCAGGGGCCCATGCTGGGCTGTCTGTATCCTGCTTCATGTCCCAGGCCTCAGTTCCATGCTCCTCCAAGTGAAGAGCTTGTACCTGGTTCTACGACCAGCATCACACCTGTCAGGGACTCCCCAGTGTGTGTAGGTTTATGAACACTTTACTGTCATAGAATTGGGCTGTGTATTCTACCCCAAACTCAAGCTTCCCCATCATACCTGTTGTTCCTACACTCTAAACTCCACTCCACTCATCAAATTCTCTCTCTCTCTCTTTTTTTAATATGTATAAAGTGTTGTATAAAGTGTTCTGGCTACATGTTTGCTTGAACACCAGAAGAGGGCACTAGTTCTCATTATAGATGGTTGTGAGCCACCATGTGGTTGCTGGGAATTGAACTGAGGACCTCTGGAAGAGCAGACAGTGTTTTTAACCTCTGAGCCATCTCTCCAGCCCCATTAAGTTCTTGATTTTTGTCTGTACTTGAGAATGTGATAGTGTCCTCTTTCACATTTCACTTTGTCCCTGCAGAACCTTTGGCTGTATCGTTTGTTAGAATTTTTTTTTTTTTTAATGTTGTGGACATCACCTAAACTTCACTGCTCCCTAAATTTTTCATTGGGAATGGGAGCATGACAGCAGTTTAGCAGAGTTTGCCTTTACTACAACTGTAATTGTAGTTGGTGTTTATTTTTTAAAAAAATGTGTGTGTAGTTTGCATGTGTGTGTTCAAGTGTACATGAAGAAGCTGCACTCTCTCTTGTAGGCACACATGGAGGCCAGTGCTGACATCTAGATGTCTTTTCCAACCGCTTCTATCCAAGTGGTCTTAACAAACTTGAAGCTTCTATTTGGGCTGGCAAGAGAGGTCCCCAACACTGGATCTGCCTATGGCTGCTCCCCAACACAGGGGGGTTTCTCAGGCTAACCACCATGTCACAGTTTTGTCTGGGGATCTAAACTCAGGTGCTGGTGCTTATAGGCAAACCTTCTGCCTCTTGAGCCATCTCTCCAGCCCCGATGTTTGTTTTCTCACGTTGATCCAGGTACTCCTTCCAGGATGAGGAGGACATGTTCATGGTGGTGGACCTGCTCCTTGGCGGCGACCTGCGTTATCACCTGCAGCAGAATGTTCACTTCCAGGAAGACACGGTGAAACTCTTCATCTGTGAGCTGGCCATGGCCCTGGACTACCTGCAGACCCAGCGCATCATTCACAGGTCAGTTGAGCCCAAGGAGACAATCCACGGGTTAGAAAAGAAGCGATAACAATGCACAGAACAAACCTTTGCTCGTCACGGCATCTAATGTTCATACAGTTGTCACAGCAGCCTTTGAGGTTGAGGTTGCCCATGCAAATGGTTGGCATATAAAAATTTAATTTGCCCAAAGTCACAGTAAATGACAAGACTAAAAATCACCATCAGTGACTATTGGTACTTGGTTAATACCTACACATATATAAAAAAGAAGGAATGATGGTGGGTGAGAACTTGAGTATTTAATTAATTCAAGTAGAAGCAGAAGCACATGGAGGGTAAGAATAAGAAAGAACCTCCTCAGATGAGAAGACTTGGTTTACTGTCTTCCTGTCACGTCAAGTGTATCAAGTGAGTCCTTCACGTGTTCACTGCTAGCAGGAGCAGCAGAAACAAGGTGTCTCCTATTTAGCAAATCTGTTTTAAGAAAATAAACAAGGAGTTGTAGAGGTGTGTGACAGAAAAAGGGATGTTACAATTGTAAAGATATTACTAGCTTTAATGATGATCTCATATACGACATCTCATTTATCTCTAAAACAAACTGGAATAAAGGACCAGAGTAGATACAGTTAGACCAGTATTAAATATGAGAAATTCATGATTTGTAAATATGAAATTAACATCTAAGCTTATTAGTAACCAAAACCATCATCAAAGCCACTACTTTTATTGAGGCTTCCTGAGTGCTGGGCACCGGGAGACACTTTATTACAGTTTTAAATCCTTAAGCATCATCGAGGACCTCTCATTTGGTTATAGTGTCCTCGTTGTACTGAGGAGAAAGTGGGTCAAATTGCTAACATTTGGCATTGTCAGGGTCTAGCCCTGGATCTCCCCAGCCCCAAGTGAGAGAGAGGTGTGTTATACTGACTGCACTAATTACACATGCAAAGTGCATGCCTCAGTTACACATTCTCAGATAAAAATCAGTGTGGAGAACCTCACTGCCATCCTCTCTGGTCTTTGAAGAACTGACTGAGCTCTTAGTGCGGCTGTGGCTCACTTAGCATTGACTGGGATGGAGAGAATGTTTGGCTGCTGCATTGAGAGGCCATATTTCTGGGTCAGCTCTGAGCCACCACAGTTTGTAGGCACCATGAGCCAGTCCTCTATGCTCTCGTTTAAGCAGGTAGACTTAAGTAACTGTTTAATTTTCCATCTGTGGGGTGTCTATTTGTACTGGAAATATGCTCTTTAAGCAATAGTTGAGTGGAAAGCTGACCAGTAATCACACAGGACTCCAGGAGGGAATGTACACACCTGGTATTTGTGGGTAATTGGAGATCTTGTTTTGATGAGCAGGCTTTCTGGCTCATGGCAGCTCTTTCTGGGAACAGCTATTCTGAGGGGAATTCAGGAGGGAAATTCACCCCATCCTGGAAGGAGCTCACTCCTAGCTCATGTCTGCTCTTCTGTGTTTTCCTCCCTCCCTCTTCACTATTCTCATCAAATTTGGGTCACTTAAATCATGTGGCATGATGGATGAATCCCACTGTGTTTCCTTCTTGTCCACTTCCAGCATTGGTAGAATGGGGCACTATGACCAAATGGAGAGTCCTTTTGACACTTAAGCATTTAAGACAGTAATATGATCAAGGGTCTCCCAGTGTCCAGTACAGAAGGATCCTCAGTAAAAGTAGTAGATTTGGTGGTGATTCAAAATGATCTTGAGTAATCTTTGTGTTGAGGGGGAGGTCTTCTCACATAGAATGAAATGAAATTAAGGAAATGAAATGAATGAAAGTCATTAGTGACATTCCAGGGGAAGATGAAAATTCCAAATGCTGTGTTGAAACAAACTGAGACACTGTTCTTCAGGGCTCAAAGAACAATTCACACGTATTTCTGTTGCCTGTGGGGCCCCCTCCCCTCCTGGGCCTTGTGTTTTGTATGCTATCAGAGTATTCTTCACTTCTGTGGAGCTCTGGTACTTTTTGATACTTTGTTTGCTTCATTTGTGTCCATACTGTAGGAGTGAAGCCATGCCTGCTTAGTTTCCCCTTGCCTTGCCACTATTTGGGAAAAAATAAAGCAATAGATAGTGGCTGAGCCATGTAAATGAGTGACTGGGAGCAAATAATAACTGCACATTTAAAATATAGATCAGTAGAGCTTGAGAGGTGCCCTAGTACGTAAGAGATTGATTTGCAGCACCCAAGTCAGGAATCTCACAACTGCTTTTAACTGTAGCTCCAGAAATGTCTCATATCGCTGGCCTTCAAACACACTGCACTCTCTCTCTCTCTGTGTGTGTGTCTCTCTCTCCCTCAGACATGCACATACACATAATTAAAAAAATAAATCTTAAAAAAATTATGGCACACTAAAGCCAAACATTTCCCATTTGATGTTTGTATGTTGGGTAACATAATTTATCATTAGAACAGTGTGTGTCTTACCCAGAGAAGAGGCCCCAAGCTGGTTATCCAACACCCAGTGATCAGCCTGGAAATCATATACATAGAAGTAACATCATGCAAACTGAGCAGGCCATATCTACATATTTACACTTACATACACATAAATTGTATGTAACACATATTACAACAATTAATGAAAATGAGGTTTTGAATTTGAGCTAAAGTGGGGTATATAAGAAAAGATTTGAGGGAGGAATAGGAAGGGGAAATATTGTAATTATATCTTAATTTCAAAAAACAAATAATAATGTTGAGATGATAGTCCAAGCTCTTATTCTGGTAAATTAAAGACATATTACCAGTATTAAGGTTCTTTCATGACAATGGGCCAAATAGGCACTTTAATTGTCTAATAACTAGGATTTTTACTATTAAAGTGCCAGATCCCAATTCAATGTGTTATCATCTTGAAATGGTATCAAATGGCTCTAAAACTGGTGAACTAAGGAGTGTTTCTCTGTAATTTAAATGAGATAATAGTGTCATTCTGAAACTGGGGTTCTTGTGGGGAGTAAAGCTGAGAGAGCAATTCAGAAATAATACGGGCTTCTGAGTGCTAGGAATCTCTTTGCAAAATCCACTTCTCTATCTATTACAACAAATACTTATTCATCTTGATGGTTCAGCTATTTCCCAGGATTTTCAGTGACATATAACATGTTTTTTTTTTATTACTGAAAAATTCAAATTAAAAATATAACTCTTCCTTCAAAAGCATAGCAAAATAAATGCTCCATTTGATTGATGCTAAGATGATGGAATAAATCATCTTTCAGCTACGTAGAATATTGGACTGTAAAACTCACATTCTGCAGTCTAATGTGTGAATGAAAAGGAACACATGAAATACCATAGACCTGCCCAAGTGAGCAGAAAGCGATTACAGGGAACAGCAGCTATAAAACACAAGGACTTCCATGTTCAGAGTCAAGCCATGTTTTGCCTCTGGGCATGATGGGTGATTTAGAAGGACCTTAAGTACTCAGCAAATACGCAAGGAACAGAAGTGGCGTCAGCACACCCTTTACCAGCAGCTCCCAATCCAGAGACACTTGGAAGCACTCGGAAATCACTGCATCAATCTTCTTCCAGTTCCAGGAAGCTGACAGCTTTCCATCCCCATTTTACAATTGCAACTCCAGTTTTGAAGACGAAGGATCTCACCCCAAATTACATTGTTAGAGTAAAGTGAAGCATCAGCTTGGGGAACGCACGCAGGGCTTTGACCACACTACATTCTATGAGGCTGAGTGTTCTTGGAGCCTGAGGAGAGCAGGGATAAGGCTAGTGTGGGCACCTGTCTTCGAGCACTCATATTCTCACTGCACAGACAAAGATGGTACATTGAAACCATCAGGTAAGGGGATGCTCTGAAACCGGAAGCTAAAACTGTTAGGCTGGCATACATTTGAAGAGAGGAGAGATTGGGTAAAGAAGCAGTTTTGTAAGAGCACGGAGGACTTAGAAGAGGTTTGAATGGCCAAAGCAGCAGTTAAACCTAAGCCGTGCACAAAGGATGAGTAAGTGGGAGTCTTTATTCAGGGACTGGGGAGTTAGCTCCGTCAGTAGGACGCTCACTACCCCAGAGTGAGGGCCCAAGGCTGCATCCTGGCGCTCACAAGGAAAGCGCTCATGTCCAGAATCTCAGTGCTGGATAAGCGGGGACTGGTGATCTCTGGAAGTCATTGGCCAGCCATTCTAATGGAGTTGTTCAACAACGGGTCTCTAAACATCAGGCAAGGACTGACTGGCGATGGTGAAGATGTCTAACCTCTACCTGTTACCTCAACAAGTACACGCATGCACATGAGTGCATAATCTCTCTCCTACTTGAAAACACATACACACACACACACACACACACACACACACACACACACACGGAGAGAGAGGGAGGAAGGGAAGGAGAATCTGCTCCTCAAGGAATACAGGGTGGGCTCTGTTTTATTCTTTTTCTTATATTGATATCCCGGCCAGCAATGTGTGCCTTATTTTTGTAAATCACTGCAAGTCCTGTTTCTGCTAGAAACTCCATGTGGGATATACATGAGGTTTTATCTTATTCTATTGGTAGGATTTTTCTTTTTATATATATATATATTTTATTTTTTTCTTATCAGTTACATTTTATTAACTTTGTACCCCAGCCGTGTCCCGATCCCTCATTTCCTCCCAGTCCCTCCCTCCCTCCCTCCTCTCCACCGTGCCCCTTGCTAAGTCCACTGATAGGGGGGACCTCCTCCCCATTCATCTGATCCTGTTTTATCAGGTATCTTCAGGACTGGCTGCAAAGATCTCCTCTATGTCCTAACAGGACTGCTCCTCCCTGGGGGGGGGGGAGGCCAAAGAGCCAGTCATTGAGTTCCTGTTAGAAATAGTCCTTGTTCCCCTCACTATGGGAAACCAATTGGTTACTGAGCTACCACAGGCTACATCTGAGCAGAGGTTCTAGGTTACATTCATACATGGTCCTTGGTTGCATGTCAGTCTCAGAAAAGACCCTGTGCCCAGATATCTTTGGTCCTTGTGGAGCTCCTA